TCTACTAGTTCAGTTTGTATACTAATATTTCCCATTAGAAATGAGCTGCTGCATGTCAAGTGCGTGACGGTTAAGTTCAAAACTACCCGTGACACATACGTGACCTAGTGGGTGATCCTTCAAATACTTATAACAATATCTTTAAGTACGTATATACTTCACAGTTGCTTAACAACCTCAGCAATCTATCAGTAGCGCTGCGTACACGAACAGTTACTATTTATAGACCTGAAACTCAGACAAACAAAACTGAAATTAACATTATTGAATTCCTCGCTTTTGTACATGTCTGTCTTTTGTCATTAAAATGAGAAAAATGACAAAACTCTGACAAAAATTGCAAATATTAGTCACTCTGACGTCATTCGCCCTCGACGCTTTTAAATACATACAACCAAGTTTATTATACATTGTAGTCACTATCAGTCTTCTCATTGGCTAAAAGCCTACAGTTAATTCTGGGAAATAGCGCAACCTACAGATTATTCACTAATCTGAACCTACAGATTAGTGAATAATCTGTAGGTTGCGCGCGCAATGCATGATTTCCAAGAGCAATGTCAAGTGGACAGCAATGTCAAGTTCGCAGACAGCGAAGTAAGAATGGCTTCTCGATTCGCTTCATCGACCCAGCAAGAAATTGAGAAATTACTTGAAGATAAAGTATAATAAAACAATCTTTAGGTTCGGTTTTTGTGATATCCGGAATAATCAAGGTCCCGGTTAGTGTTATCAGCCTCAGCCTTCGGCTTCGGCTGATAACACTTACCTCGACCTTGATTGTTCTGGATATCACAAAAACCTCATCTCAATATTTACTTGCTTTCAATGGCTTTCACGAAAACGTGGCTTTTACACGAAACAGGATTTCCTCACTGTTCGGTCTAGTTTGTGACTTTGAATGATTGACGTTGTCTTACAACGTTGGCCAGAAGTAGCGATTATTGTAGGAATGCATAATAATTATCTCAACCTCTAATTTCTCGTTTCGCTGTCACTGTTCATATTTTAAGTTTTATTGAGAATTTTATCCCGCCTGCAGTCCTTATTTTAAATTGGTTTTCAATTACCGTACGGGTTTTAACTCTTTTGCTCTGCCAACAAAAACATTAAAACGTGCACGACTGAATACGCGAGCAAATTCTTGTCTTGGTACGTCACAGACTTTGTAAGCAAGATGCTGTCAGCATTTTAAAAACTTTTTAAAGCGTGAAGTAATCACGAGCTGGATGACGGGAGCTTTTGATAACTTTCTGTATTTGGTGAGTGTACTTTCTACTGGTTTTCTCACGGTATTTTCCGTGAAACGTGAAATTCGTGAAGATACTAAACCTACCAAAAATGTTGATAGGAGACTAGGTACGAAAAATTCTTTTTTAAATGCGCATGCGTGGCGTATGATATGTGCTTAATCGTTCGCACGGCAGCAGAATCAAATTGCGACCACTCTTTGGTTCTCTCTAGTTATTTTGGGTAAACTAGCTCGACGGGCTAACTCTAATGATCTAGAGATACCATGTGGAGAGAAAAGTCGTTTTTCAAAGGAAAAAATTCTTGCATGCAACTCCAAGTAGCAAAGTTGATGTTGTCGGATGTATCAGTGTCAGAGGTAAGCTTGACAGCTGCCGAACAGCTCAAACCAAAAGAGAAACAAATAGAAGATGTCACTGGAAAATTCAGATATGGTCGGTTTGGATATCTTTGAATGGTCTATTTATATGTTACTGTTTTCAAATAATTTGTCATTTTCAAATGCGTAATAAAGTTTGACAAGGTTTTTCTGGGGTAAGACTAATCTGTGGAACTGCTGACCGCGGAACCGCGGGACCTGCGGAACCTAAAGAAATGGCTGTTTTATTGCAACTGCCTTTGGCTAACGTGTTAAAATGATTAGTTGCCATTAATTTTTACAATAACTGAGCGATTTCTCACCCCCTGATTGGTCGAGAGCTATTGTCGATAACAGTGCAGACCATTGAAAACTTTTGTCGATTTTGGTTTAGTATCACTGAGAGAGCTCTGGTTCCGAAACAGAAAGGCATGGAATCGTGGACGTCCGGCTTCTTACTAGTCGTCGGAGGGAAACGTGAGGGATAGATTTAAAGACAGTAAGATGAGAGGACGATGAGGCTTAGACATTGCACAGGCGTAAGATCGGAATCGGGCGCAGCGTAGGCGGATAATGCATAAGTAATATTAGGTAGAACTATTCGGTATTCTTTTTAGAGAGAAGGTCTATTTTGACTGACTGATTGATATACTGTTTGCGCAGCGTTCTAAGGATATGTAGGGATTTGTTAGCTTTAATAAGTTTGTGTTGGACTGACCGAACATAAACGAGCGACGAGGAATGGTGACGTCATCAATCACATTGCTGAACACTATTTACGAAGAAACATCAAATTGACTGGGATTCTGCGACATGTATAACGCATTCTACAAACTACTCTCAACGACTTACTTTAGAAAGTTGGTTTACTAACTTAGAACAAACGCCACTGAATCGTAGCCAACAGTTACCAGCGCGGGACAAACGACTTGTTGACGAGATCAAGCAAACTAACTACGAGAGAACGACTGAAGGACTGACAATTTGACTAACAATAGACCACTGTTTCACTGTGACAATAGACGAATCGAAACGCACCAACTGCTGATTACGAGTCTCCATAGCCAATAACATCACGGCCTAACTGACAGACGACCAATAACATCGCGACGTAATTGACCAATCAGATCACAACCAGTCGAGTATAATACCATCAACTGACGTGATACAACTCACTTTGTCTCTGAAGATGACTACTGCTTTGGTTGTCGAAACGTCAGTGACTGTCAGCAACAAGTCCTATTATTCAGGACTACGTTCACCCGGACGATCAAACTCAACCTACTTTTGAAATGACTCCTGGGTTCAAACCTTTCACAATCTAAAGACTGTGACACCAACTGATTAGAGCGGTAAAACTATAGTGGTACTCAACTAAATCTGCCGCTTTCCGCACAGAAAAAGTAGGGGCGACCCGTGGAGCTACTGTGGACGATTTTCCGCATGTCAGTAGGCTAGATTTTACGGCCGCTTGCTGGAAAGGTTGGACATATATAGTTATCTCTCGCCTTGCGGACACCCCGCTAACGGACACCCTGATAGTACGGACAGCAGCTAAATCCCAGGCAAAAATACATTGTAGATGTTTGAGTGAAATTAACTCCCGCTATTACAGACTCTCACTAAAGAGGAAAGTAACTCAAGGTCCCTATAGTGTCCGCTATAAAGGAAGTTGACTGTATTGGGCATTGGGCGTCACATGCCTCCGGTTATGGGGAGACCAGGCCCCAGTCTTTCAAAAGGTGGATAACGCTATCCACTGGATAAATCTCTATCCCGGGATAGTACTTATAAATTGGATAGTACTTTATTCAGCAAATTGCTCTTTTTAACGTTTGAACAATCGGGACCAGCCTGGGAAGCCAAGATGTTAAAGGCTAAACACTAGTCCACTGTCCGCATCCTAATTTTACAGAGTGTAATGTATCGGTCAAATCGAAGCTTCAACATGTCCCCCCCCCCGGGCATACCCCGGGCATTTGACACCTTTGCCGTCCCGGGGGGGAGGGAATTTGATTATCAGAGTCTTCCAGGGGGTGGGGAATTTGATCCCCATGCTTTAGGGGTGGGGGATTTGAACTGCACCCTCGATTTCATGTAAAATCTTTGACGTGGCGAGCTATCATGGGGGACGCGGTGTTAGAGGATTTTCGTGGAAAAGATTGTGCCTTTGTGGCCAGCTGGTTACGAGGAAAGGGCTTGCACATGCTTTGTGCCGTATTTGAAGTATTTAAATTTTAAAATTTTTAATATTGGATTCAGGCTTTGAATGTATGAATGTATTTTGTTGTTGTGTTTACAATGAAATACAATACCTATACCGGCGATTCAATACATTAACATAAAATAAAATAAAAAGCTCAGGTTAACTACTTTGACCTGCTGCAAGTATGTTAATTAATGAGGTGAGCGATGATGCATGTCAGTGAAGTGGTCATGATGTAGTAATCTCAATAGGTGGGATCTTTTTTTTATAGAAAGCTTTGTATGTTCAGTATGTTGCATGACGAAAAAAAGCTGAGCATTCAGTTACCTTGTAGCGGCGATTTCCGCCGCTTTGCACGAGACTTTTCTTGGTAGTAAATACGCTAACAGTGTTTCTCAGTTTTTGTTATATTTATAAAGATTTTGTTCGACAACTGAAGGCGTTTCCGCCGTCTTTCTGTCATTTTTGTGCCTGTGAAATGTCCCAGGGGTGGGGGCATTTGATCAGCTGAATGGACCCTAGTGTGGGGCATTTGAACGGCATTTTGGCCCGGGTAGGGGGGAATTTGAACAATAGTTTTCAAAAAAGTCAAATGCTCGGGGGGGCATGTTGAAGCTTCGATTTGACCGATACATAATACATTAGCGCTGTAGTACGGCACTAATTTATCACAGCACAGTTCTTCGTCCCCAGGGCTTTTCCCTTGAATTCCGGTTGTGAGAAAAGGACCTGGTAAAATGTATCTTGGTTTTTCTCTTCTAATCTTCTAAATGTTCCCTGACCATAGAACCCCTTAGAACAATGTTGCAAAAAAAGTTGTGCAGTTTCCATCGGTTCGTTTTGTTTTTGTTGTTTTTTCTTTTTTACCATTTTAGTAAAATCCCCAGCTAAACACTGCAATTTGACTGTCAATAAGGAAAATAACCATTGCGGGAAGGAAACAGGAGCCGGCTCTTGACAGAAGAGAAAGAACCCTATGCTCCGTTCTCCCTCTGGTCCACAGTCCATCGTCCGCTCCTTTCTTACAGGGTCGACCGCGAAGTTGCACGTTGCACGTTGACTTTTATGAGGAAGGAAATTTATTGTGCTGTACAACGTTGTACTGTTGCTGAGATAGAGAGGTCGGCTAAACTGTAAGTTTCTTCTGGTAATGACAATTTAAGTTTTACGACTTTTAGTTAATAACAAATTGCTAATTCTTCGAACAAACCATGTTTATGAGCTATAAACATTCAAGGCATATAGGATCGTGATCAGTGTTTTAATTCAAAAACTAACTAAAGTTCGTTTTACTATGTAAATTGCTGTGACCTCTAAGACTGCTCTTTGAGTTTTCAGTAATCATTCGTCGATTGCTAGCGTCCTTCACTGAAAAAGAGCTACTATAGTATTGATCTGCAGTGCCATGCCGCCATGCCAGCCGTTGCGAAGGTCACGCAAATCGAAAGCAAACTAATGAAGCGCTGGGAACGTAGCTGAACGTATTATTGATTCGATCCGCGCTCGAGCTAAGTAGCACGATCGAGAAAGTGTCTACATTTCAGGCCCTTCGAAGCATGTGGCGATGATTTTCATTACGGTTTACAACGACGTCCTCGCTTACAACCCACGGGATGAAAAAAGAAAGAGGAAGGTGCGTGTCATGTCAATTGTGCTTCACTTATTATTATTGTAGTCGGGCTGTCTTCGATCTTCTTCGATTTGAAACTAGTGAATTTCCCATAAACACACTTAAAATATTTTGCTATCACTAACGACACCGTGAATTGCTTCGATCCATGTCGCATTTACGGTATGAAAATATGCTATGAGCAGCAGCATCATGTAATTATAAATAACTTCTAGTTTTCTTTCGTGAGTCATAACATAATGCGCGCCTGTTTGTAAATAACTGAAGAATTTCAGTTCCATGTTTCAATTGTTTTGATGCCTTCGCTTCACTGAACGCGGGCCAGTATCGTGGAACGTTCGTGATAGTATTTCGTAGTTATATAGAAAATCATTTGGTAAAATTGCGATGCTATCATTAAATTTCGTGGTGCAATTATTATATTGATCAACATTTGGTTGTTCGCCTGTTTGAAGTGTACTAAAGCCATTATTCAGCCATGGGCTTCAGGCTAAATGCGAACAATTTTGTTGTTACTGACTCTAGGCTAGTTCAAACGGCTTGTTCCAGCACTAGAGAAAATTCTAGCAAATTTAAACAGAAAGGAACTCGCGATGTTTGGTTAGTGCCCTAAAAACGAACTACTCCGCCCTCTATTTTGAAAACTTTTGATGCTACGCGACACGCGACATCAGTGGAAACAGAAAATGTCGCCTGATTTCCATACGAAGAAAGAAACATTAACGACCCTCATTGAATAGCAGCGTTCGAGTCTTTAAAGGTTGAATTATTGGTACTTTTTTTTTCACATGTTTGTGGCTTTATTAAGAATTACTGGCTTTCTTATGAGTTATAAAATCCAGGCCACGACATGTCACGAAATGTTGTCGCACGCACCTATACATTTTGTACAAAGGCTAGTATTTCATTTACGGTTTCCATGTCACGATTAATTTACGACCCCTTGAGCACATACATACACAGGCGCTCCTGTCAATAATTTAACCTGTTAATTGCGTCTCTTTAAACATGTGTCGATCGGGTTTGCAATATTAAAGCAGTAACTGATCCTCAGTTTAAAGAATCGTATTTAGAGCCACAACTTGCTCATCAGGGGTCTCGGAAAATCTAGATTAGATCTGAAAACCTTGTAAAACTTTGTTACGAGTCTCGAATTTTTATTTCCGTTTCTTGTCCTCCCTCAAATTTTAGATACTCTCGAAAACTGAAACGAAGTTTCGGCTTCTTGCTGAGCGTCACATTAAACACTCAGTCCTCACGCCTAATATGAGGAAAGATGACTGAAGAGTGACAGTTTTCTTTTGTTTAAAGGCCGGTATTACGTTATTTCAGCGGTATTAAACTGCATAAATTTGCTCTTCTGGTAAATTAGGACACCTGTACATGACAACGCCGTCACGCTGCGAGCTTTGTTTTCTTCCTTTTTTAATAACAAAAATGGTTTTATTTCATAGATTTCGTCATTTTACCGTGCCAAAAAGCCTCGAAGATGATGTTTGTTGCAAACACTTTGCGTTCGAAAGAGGAAGGAACGTATTTGAGCCGTTTAGAGCTGTTATAACAAACTTCCTATTCAATCATGACATGCGCGTGGAGGCTCATTGTTCCGCTGTCACCTTCATGTAGTCTGGTTGGCATGCGCCGGGTGTCTGTAAAATAATTGTTTAAGGTATTGTCTCCAAGTTTCATTTTCACGTGAACAGCGGTAACTAACAATACATTTGAAATATGCAAAAATGCTAGCTATTGTTGTGTACGAAAACATGAAACTTGGAGACAATACCATGGATAATGAGAGGCTCTCACTTGTAAACACAAAATTACTGACAAAATATTAGCGAATTGTAGCCCTTATTTTACTGCCTTGCAATACATCAATAATCTTGAAATTAAAAGGTCATATAAAAGGAAGGTTAATCTCAAGAATCTTACATTTTTTAAAAAAATCTATCGAACGGTTTAAAAATTATTCGCTAATTTGTTAAAGTAGACCAAGATGTTTACAAACCGCTACCAATAGCGCTTCGATACATACTAATCAAATGCTTCTTTCTAGCAATGGGCTGGAGCTATCTCCATGATCTTTCACACACGTTTTTACAACGATTGAAACTACTACGAAGTGAAATTGCTTGTCAAAAACACTGCAATTTCTACAGATAACAGCCGAATATCAAGATTATCCATTTTTTTTTTACCGTATTTCTAACCATAAAAAAACTTTATTCCAAAATATCTCGATAACGCTCTTACAGATTTTGCATCAAGACCGCTATTGGAGGAAAAAGCTCCCGTAAACGATTTTGGAAGGACAGTTCCCAGTGACGAGAAATACTGCTGCAAGTAAAATAGGTAACGCCATTTCGTTGCTATGACAACTCCGATGTCATTGCAACCCCGGTCATAACGAATTGTCATCTTCATCTAATACAACTGTGGTGGCCATTTTCCCAAATCTTTGTTTATGGCGAGGTAGTTTATGCTCAAACTTGCGAGGTATTGACCCTAAAAAACTGTATCGAGCCACCTTAAACAATTTTTTGAATTAAATTTCTAACGTGAAACAATTCAATGAGCAAGGCTCGCAACATTCGCTAAATGTACAATTGTAAACAATTTATGCTTACTGCCGGCAGAAGAAATGAAACATATACCTGCCAAGTGTCACGCCTGCGGATCGAAAACTTGGATCTCACGCCTACTCACGCGTGTGTTCCGATTTGTCACGCCTGGTAGAAAAGTTTGAGCCATTACAGCATTAACTGACACATTTTGAAAAATGTATTAATTATTTAAACAAACCAGAACCAAAGAGAGAAAAGAAGGTCTATGTGGATGATCGACTTTCTCCGAATTCTGTTTTTTTAGTAGGGAAGTCAATGTCCCTTTGTGTTCCTGTGTTCGTGTTAGACGGAACTCTTCGTAACATCTTCGGAAGTCTTCGGGACGTCTTCGGACATCTTCGGATATTATCGGACCCCTCCGAAAAATCTTGGCACTATTAAGATAAAAAATGTCACGCCTATAAATGTAAAAAGGTTGGCAGGTTTGGAAACACAATCGAAATACGATTGCAGCGATTAAACATCAACTCGCCATGCGGATCAAATTTCGCGACAATTCCTGACCTTTTCGCCAGTGGCTGAAAAAACTGGCCGTTGCCGTTGTAGAGAAGTGGCCGTTGTGGAGAGAGGTTCGAGTGTAGTATTGATGGTTTTCACATAACGTCACTAAAATTCAAACTATAATCTATCGATCCTACTGAGATTTTACTTTGATGATGTATTAGAGCAGCTGAAAACTAATATTCACACAAATTTTCGCTTCAAAAGCGTTCTTGGTTTTGTGTTAGAGTAGGGTTGAATTTCTAAGCTTTTGCGTGACGCGGATTTTACATGACGGCCGAGAGAGCTGTAATGTAGGTTAAAAAAGTGTCTTATTTCGGGTAATTTTGCTATTTAAACGGTTAATGTATTAGAAAAAGTATTACTTTAATGTTTATGAGTTACTCGAGGGATAAATTCACGCTTTTGTAGCAAAACTCGGTAGCAGATGTTTCTGTTGGTTTCCGTCCGCCATGTTGGTGCCCATCCAGGTGGGCACCAGCTTGGCGTTTCCATACAAATTTCTATAAATTTGGGTAAAACATTTTTTTTGATATCTCGTATGCGAAATAATTCTCTGACCCGAATCTTGGCGAGTGTCTTTGTTTTTTTTAACTCCTTTCATTTCCGGCCTTAAACTATTGAACGGTTTACATTTTTATTTTGATCTATGTTGAATGGTGTGACAATGAAAACCAGCAATAAAGCTACAGAAGCCTTAACTCTACCCGACTGCAACAAATGTTGTCCCGACTGTGGTCGTCAGTTTGTACAGCTTCGATGTTCTTTTAACATTGATATGAATGATCATTTTAGTGGTCAGCCATTATACAGTCAAACATGTATTAAGCGAACCTTTGTTTAGCGGTCACCCTCTATTAATCAATCACTTAATTAAGTCCTGGAAATAATTTCCCTCAATTACTAGAAAACTGACCTGTTACCGGGTACAATTAAGGTGATGTTTCCTTTTGGTGCATCTCCGCGGTGACTTTTCTTTTATGAAAGTACGTATGTCTAATTAGAGTTTTTGATTGATGACAAAGCCTTGTTTGAGTTGCGCACTTTTCTCAATTTAACATTTTTTTTTTACCTCAATTTGGCTCTTCGTCCATATTTTCCAGGCAATGCCTACCTTACTCATTTTTAACCATTTTAGGCGTGTTTTCATGACTTTTCACCCGAATTCATGGCAGCGGAAAACTTCAGTTAGACTTACAAGTGTTTTTGTGGGTAAAAAACTATTGTTCTAAATTCTGTCTTGTACTGTGAACTGCATTGTATTTGCCCTCTGAGGTTTTCGATCACGTCCGTAGTTAATTTCTGGAAAAGTCTTGGACAATCATTTTCGATGAAGAAGCTTAACACCCTCTGGAAATCTACAATAACGTTAGATTTTCAAACTGTTAATTCCTGATACTGCAATATGAAGTTGTATGATCCTAGTTGAAGAATAAAGTAAGTATAAAGAAAGAAGTCACGTCCCATTTGTTGATGAAGAACCAGCTAGTTCCCTATAAAAATTTCTTCCAACAATATTTCTCTAGACTGTTCACAGTCTCCTGTTTTCCCGTGAGATGGAGATTGAGCGCTTTGGGTTACGGGCAGCCATCTTGGATGAGTGTCAAAACTATTTAGGGGGCGGGCGTGGTTTGGACCTTTCGGCTTTCTCGCTTTCTCCCAAACTGCCCCCCGCCCCTTAAGTATTTTTTTTTTCAACCAAGATGCCTGCCCGAAGCGCAACGCGCTCGATCTCGACGATCTTACGGAAAAATAGAGGACTGTGAACAGCCTAATATATATTTCACTCCCAAACCATCTTTAGATTTTTTGAATAGCTCTTAGGCGGTGTGTCGAACCCTAGTAGTAATTGGTCACGCTCTTTTAAGCAGCAGTAAATGGGTGACAACTTAATACAGGTTTGCCTGTGATATGAAAATGAACATTTCAGAGGCCGGTCAACCGTTTTATATCATGCTTTTTTTGGTTCTTTCTAGTGCTTGTTGGCAGATGACTCGGTAACCAAAAAACATGAACTTCATTAAGTCACATGTGAAGAAAGCACATTCCGTGTTTCGTTGCAGTCAGTACAAGACAGTCGGTGCTTTTGTGGTATGCTTTATCATCATTGCGTTGTTTCTAAAACTGAACGTAATGACTCCCGGAGTGTACACTGGAAACAAGCCCTGGAGTCCCGCACCAAAATGCAAGAATTCCGAACAAGACCTTAATCGTATGGTTCAATTAACACACAAGGTGCAAGACATCTTGAAAAATATGGGAATCGATTGCTGGTTGATGTACGGCTCTTTATGGGGACCGTTACGAGGTATGGAGGGTCCCCTCCCGTGGGACGACGATGTCGATCTTGCCATAAATGGCGATGGTATTTTTAGCCAAATGACGTTTAGACAATTTAAAGCCATGTTTACTGCTCCTGGACTGTCGGTGGAAAGTAGGCTATGGCAGAGTTCGTTAATTGTCATTTCCGAGGGAGACGCGTGGCCATCACTGGATCTGTTTGTGTTTTATAACTACGGTGGTACTATGAAAAGACCTGGTTTCGAATCCTGGTTGTTGCCGATCAACTACAAACTTTATCACACATTTCCAGCTCATTTAGTCGAACAGCCCTTGCCCAAAGTGAAGTTTGGATCCTTCAATATTTCAGTTCCCAGAGATGGCATTGAAATCATGAAACATTTGTATCCGTATAATTGGTGGAAGGTAGTGCGACCAGTAGGTTGCGATAATTAACAAATAGAGCCTATTTTGATCAAGAGATTAGAGAATAATTAGTCCCTGCGTTGCCTTAGCTCGATGGGTGACAGGGGAGACCATTCTGGGCGTGGTTTAGGCTTTATTTGGCCCTAAAACACGAACAGGGGGTGCTCCTGGGGAAATGGGGAAACCATTGTTGTTTTTCTCTTGTGTTGTAGCGTGGGTATTAAAGACTTGAAGATTTCTAAGACGAGTGCGACTACGCTAAGTAGTGTGCGGGAGTGAACAAGCGTCATTTTGGCGGAAAAACGTGATAGCCGTTGTCATTCCTCTGCGAGTTCAAATGTTAGAATTTTTATCGTTTTGTGATCGGGATAGGGCGTAAACTCCTTTGATAACAATGACAGTGCTAACTTTTCTGTTGAAAACAAAAACAAAAAACAAAACAAAAAAACTACATTGAACCTTTCCGGGTAGTCCCTCAGTCAGTCGAGTCTAAGCTTGGCAGGACTGGAGAGAGCGAATTGGCCGAGATGGTCACGCGAGCGAGGAAATTGAGCGAAGCGAGCGAAAGCCGAGAGGAAGCTGCGCCTCTCTCCAGTTTCCCTCTCGGCCAATTCGCTCTCTCCAGTCCTGCCGAGCTTAGACTCGACTGACTGAAGATGGAGTGCTCGCAGTCTACTTTCCGGGTTGTCTATTTTTTTTGGAGAAGACACAAAAACCTTCAAGACAAATCTCGTTCTCGTGGTCGTCCCCGTTCTCGAATCTAAAGGTCTCTCTATGAATTAAGACGGTAGTTGATTTACTTTTTGTTATAGATTTCTTTACAAACTACCCATAGCGTTATCGGTGTGGATAAACATATTAGCTTTCCTGGGCCAGATTAATTGTTCAAAGCTGGGTTAGGATAATCCAGGATAATTCAGTGCGAAGTTTGAATTCAGATTCGATAGCTTAAAAGGAACAGAGAAAATTATCCGAGATATTACTTTTGAACAAACTCGGAAGCAAAACGGTGCCGGAGGATTCAAATTCATTTCTTTTGGGTGGGCGAAGTGGGTTAGTGCAACACCGTGAAACATTTTTTATGCATTATAGAAAAATGGTTAGATCTAGATATTTTTAACCGATAAAAAACCAGGAAGAAGATTTGACGTCTCGATGTCATCATAGACTGTCGACAGTCCCCTATTTTTCCGTAAGACTGTCGAGAACGAGCGCTATAGGTGGCCATCTTGACCAAGTCCCAACTTGCCCCATGAAAGGGAATCCAAGACAGTCTTGGACTCTGGGTTCCACCTTGTATATTCCGGATTCCAGGTACTGGATTCCAGTCTTAGTCTGTGGAACTTGGTTTCCGGATTTCGATCTTCAATGGGATTCCGGATTCCTTGAGCTATATTCCAGACTCCAAAGCACAGGATTCCGGACCCCACAGGCAAAATTTTTTTCGGATTCTGGATTCGACAAGCAAAAATTTCGTGGAATCGGATTCCCTTATATGGTGCGAAACTCTAGCTTGAAGATGACTATATCTCATCTACTTAGGGGGCCGGGGACGGTTTGCGAAGAATCTTTAAACCCCGACGCCCGCCTCCTCGGTAAAGTTGAAACCAATTACAGAATGGCTGCTAGTAATGGTGAGCGCTCGACCCCGACCATCTTACGGAAAAATAGGGGAACGTGAACAGTCTACTCTCATCATGACGCCGTTGTCAAAGTAACTACCAAAAGAAAAACTCATAAGGGAAGACAAGTGGTTCACCAAATTGTCATTCGTTGATACGATCATTGTTATCAGTGTTAATTTAGTAAACAAATACCCTGCAAGCGGCTGTTTTTCCAAGCTGGACGCTACGCTACGCTACGAAGGGAGAGAAAGAGCAACCGTTTGCTTTATTGATCGAGCCGTCTTCCAGCGACCTGGACGAATAAATTAAATTTGAACAGGTAAAACCTGTTTAAAAACAAGTTAAGGCTCTCGCGCATTTGCTTACGCTTATAACTGCTGCCTTAACACGAACCTGCTGTGAATTTGCGCTCTTTCAGTCTTAATCGCAATTATTCTTACCCACAACTTACTTTGCCAAATCTAGGCGAACCAAACTGTAGTTGAATTCTTCGGGACCATATCCAGGCTCAGAAAGAGAAAAAAAATTTCGTCGTTGCTTGTCAACGTTCTCCATTAAAAACGCGAAGTTAGGCAATTCCACTTCGTGGTCGAGCAAAAACAGCAAAGAAATGTACAAAAAAGTGTGATGAACGTGCACAGTTGTTGTTTTGCATTGTTAATCAATTGTTTGTTTGTTTGTTTTTTACTTTCTCGTTGCCGTGGGGTCATTGGATCTAAAAATCGCTAATGTTTCTTGCAAAACAAGTGAAAGTGATCTCACCTGACGTTTTGAATTAGGCTTCATGTGGACGCGCATGCTCAATAGAAAAGCAAACGGTTGCTCGTAGTGGTTTCTTCTCCCTTCGTAGTGTCTGGTCTGGAGAAATCACTGCTTACAGGGGATTGAACAATGCTTTTCTCACGCAAAACGTTTCTAGCTTTCTTAGTTACCTTCAGACAGTGGCGCCATGGTAACACCGAAGCGTCAGTTTTTCTTGTCGATTTATCCACTCAAACGATTAACGAAATTGGAATTGCCGCTGATTTGTGCGCTCGACAAACAAAACCGCCAGCTACGTAAGCTAAAGAAAAACTTGATTATCTCCTGTCTTCTCTAAATCATATCCAGTCTCCTCCCTGGCAGTAGTCCAGTTTCGAATTCGTCGCGGCCGCTGAATAGAAGCACTGTAGACTCATTTATACAGGATTAAGCCTCGACCCATAGTAAAATATTCACAAGTACCGGCGAGAAGGTACCTGAATTTGAGTTTAAAGCAATAGACACAGTTGTACACAGGTCTTTTTCTTACTGGAATTTGTGAATATAATTTATTTACTTTAGGACGAGGCTAACCCTGTATAAATGAGTATTCAGTGCTTCTATTTAGCGGCCGTGAAGAATTGGAAACTGGACTATTATATATGTTTGAGGTGAGAAGGCTGAACACAATGATTGTTGTTAGAAATGCGGAGGGTTGACCGTAGACCAATCAAGGAAACAATTTGCAAAAATTAGGAAAAATACTTCAAAGCCAAAGTTTTATAATTTTCGATCACAGCTTAGCGCAAATTGGCCGAGAAATTCTGAACTTTAACGGCCGCCATAGCATTGTATTTGCAGCTTTTTTTTGTAATATTATCTTAGTTGACATTTGTAGTTGCTTTCAGCGAAACTTTTCTCGGGAATCACAAATTTCTAAATATAAGCCAGTCCGATAAAACATGTTAATTAAAGTCAATGCGCGCGCACGAAAATGTTGCAGCACCTGGCTCGTACCTGTACCCAGACGTGTCTCTCTCGAAGAAAATTTGCGCGCAAGGGCAGGCGGTAGTTTCTCTTCCCATGGTCCTTTGCGCTTCGTCACCAGTCACTCGCGTGCCGCTTGCGTTTCGCGCTTGCCTCTGTGCGAAAAACGAAGCGCCTGAGGACCAGGCTGTTGCAACACTCTAGCGGAAGAAACAGACTCTGGTAGAGCAAAAAATACATGAGGTGAAATTTTAATGAATCAATATACATCAATAGTATTTGCTCAACAAGGGAAAACTCTTTGATCATAAAGTTTTCTAAAGTATCAGCCAGTTTTTGTCTCGTCACGCAACTCTTTTTTTCAAAAAATGAGGGGCTTTGGGTGACGAGACAACAACAAGAACAGAGTGTTATTTGCATGATCATAAGAATTTATAGAATTGCAAAAGCGAAAATAGATTTTAAAAATATTTAAAAAGTAGTATTAGTGCTACTACTTAACTATCGTTCTTGATTATAAAAAAGAATCATTGGTACATGATCAAAACAACGAAAATAAAGAACAAAGAATTGATTACATTAAATTATATTACACCGAGTATGTTTAATTGACAAATAGCAATTAACCCTCGGACGGACAAGGGGGAAGGGGGCGGGGGGTGGTGATTTTTTCCTATACGATAAAACATCACCACCTGAAGTTTTCTGTAGCTGTTCGTTTATCCTTCGCGCGCTTTTTGAAACAAGTTTACTGATGGTCAAAATTGAGGAGTGAACTGCATTAATACTAGAAAAGATGAATTAAACCGAGCGTTTTTGAAGTCACACATTCGCACGCACCGTGGTTTGTATTTTTGTTTGAACCTCGGACGTACGCGCAAGGTGATAACCCCACCGGCGTATAAAGGGGGGAGGGGTTGAGGGACCCCTCTTGGGTTTTTGATACGTTGCAATATTTCGAAACGATTTCGCCTTCAGTGGATAGCCTTCGATTTTCTCTACAAATCTTCATCAGTAAAAAACCGAAGATTATAAGATAGAATTTCTGACGTTTTGACAGCATTTGTTTTTCCTTTTTGTTATTATCGCACTATGAATACGCACACATACGGGACGGTGCTTCCATTTTCGCGGGAAAAAGTACTGCGAAATGATGCTAAAAATAAAATGATCTGTGAAAACGCCGTTACACAGGCCAAGAATGGGAGCTGCACCCTCCGGATTATGGATTCCTGACAGTGTATATAACCCTGTAACTTGATTTCGGTTAACTCGAACTCTCCACCATTAGACTTAGATAGATTGTGCTCGCAATTGTGCTCTATTTACATCTGGAAAATTTAAGAGTGCATATTAATTCATTGCTTGACAACTATAAAAACTCAAACAATTTTATAATTAACAACCGGCACGAGCGCGCCATCTTGGGTAACCGAGCGAGTTGTGCGCATGCATTGAGCCCTCGATGAACCCCATTATAAGCAGACAAAAAAAATATTTTATCGGGCTTAAATTTGCCTGTAACACTGATCTCTGGTTACATGATTAATAAATAACAATTTTGTGCTGGAAAACTAGCCAAAAGTGCAAATTATGCTGGCATTGCTTTTATTCGGAAAATGGGTGAAAATTATGTTCGTGATGACGAATTATACCAAAAATTATGCTAGCACAATCTATCAGGGCCTATCCGCTACAACTTCACCTTAATTTTGCCGTGGGAAAAGGTAGGATTTAACCCCCTTACTCGAACTGTTTCTTACTTTACTTTGCAGTTCGAATCCAGGTGATATTTAGTCAGTCTCGTGGTAATCTCTTAGTCTGTAAGGAATTGACACTCGAAAAAATGAAATCGGCAAATTTTAATTTCCCGCACAACCAGTTTAATAGCAAAGAAAGCGTCGTCTTCTTTCTGCTAGCCTGCGATCATGCCCTCTCCCTTTATCTCTGTAATCTGTTTTCACAAGCCAAAGAAGCAAAAGAAAAATAACGCCTGATCTCAGGTTATCTTTCTGCCGTCCTGTTGCGTCTTTGTTTGGTTGTACTATATTCTCAGAACTACGGGACTGGGATTCGTGGGCACTGGGCTACCACGAATCTTCAGATATTTTTTAACACGCCCAAAACTCCCTTCTTAAATCAAGCCACTCAAAGAGAACTTGCCAAATTTTCCTACCCAAAAAATTCCATCGATCTCTCCCGTCACTTGAAATCCGAAGTACCCCACCTCTCCCCTTCCCTGGGAAGAAAACAGCCGTTAAGAGAAGAAGATAAAAACTGGGCACTAGTTCACTTTGGTTCCAGGCCTTCCCATATGTTCCCAGAAAACGCCTGATTGATTTCAACTGTTTACACGTTGGTCAAATCGCCCCATCTGCAATTTGAAGCAAAAATTTCCTTTACAGTAGTGTTACTATATCCCGTATACGTTGTAATGCCTTTTCAAAATACTTCTGATGGTATTTTCGTCCATTATGATATCGAAACACTTTTAAAGACTCTACATTGTACTGGAATTTGTCCACAATGACACGGTCGCTCGTGCATGGTGAAGGAATTCGACTTTTGAGTCGATGACAGTCTTTTAGTACGATTTATTTCTTACAGCTTCAAAAAAGACCATAATGGCACCCTCTCCTGTATATTTTACTTGCTTCATATTAAGAGGAAAGGAAAGGAAGGTGACCACAACAGCAAATGTAAGTAAAATTTGAAAAAAATATTATTGCCATATTTGTAGAGTCTTGTAAGCGCACATAGTAGGGAGTTTAAGATTCCACGACGGCAAAGGTGGCGAAAAAGTCCCTTAAAAAGTGAATTTGGGTCAATTTAGGTTTCTGGGAAACTGTCCACCTACCCCTCCCCTAAGCCAACATTAACACTTACTTCTTGCTTAGGGAAAAATGTTGGCTTAGGGGAGGGGCAGGTGGGCAGTTTCCCAGAAACCCTAAATTGATCCGTGAATTTTACAATACAGATGAACCTCTCCACAACAGCCACCTTGGGGACAGAATAAAGTGGCCATTGTAGAGAGGCTTAAACAAAAATCAATGTACAATGTATGGACTATCTGCTAAAAAAGTGGCCATTGTAAAGAGGTGGCCATTACTGGAGGTTTGACTATAACTTAATAATATTTCATGCACTGATTGACTAATTTTTATCATCAAAAAAAAGGACAGGCGCATAAAATTTTAATTTATGCAATACGGTAATTTGCCAAACTTTAATGTTTTTGTCTTGTTTAGTCTCATCTCGTCTCATAGAACATTTTAAAACTTCTCTCAACTGAGAAAGATAGCTCTGATGCAAGACTTGCATCCTGTTTGAATTCTCTTTAAAATGCTCAAGTGAGGTAGCAGTTTCCAAAAGCAGAGGCAACTTGTTAGGCATTGCACAGTCTCTGATTTCCTCTGGCTCAGATAAGCTTTATAAATACATAGTTTTAAGGTTAAAAAGTAAGTCAAGTTTATTTAGAATAAATAAAAATTTTGTACCGTAATGATTCGATTTAGCGCCCTCCTTCCAATAAGCGCCCCCTTCCAAATAAGCGCCCCCCTTCGAATGTGTTTTTGTTAATAAGCGCCCCTATTCTAATAAGCGCCCCCTATTCTAATATTATTACAGCGCCTTCAGAGTACGTATGGTTTATCTTCCTTTAATAGCTGACATACGTAATAATGTATTACAAAAACAGTGGTCTTCGTCTGAGTTTCTCAACTGTAATGTCCATGTGAGTACATAATTCCTTCAAACGAATAATTTCTTCTTCAAATTTTGTGGCGATTGCTCTTCTGGTCGTTCTGGCCAGAAAGGATCCAGGGACAACAAGTAAGTCTCCTTGATCCAGTCACTTTGACCTGTACATTGTTCTCATGGCGGGCTTTGAGAAATGTGAATATAAGGAAGGAAAGTTCCATCGGCACATGTCCAACAAGTTTGTTATCAGCTTCAAGGTAAGTCCCAACTGCGTATTCATCTTGCTCTTTAGCTTCTTTACGGTCATCTTTCCTGCATGCCAGAGACTCTCCTATGATTGGAGACCACGCCGCTTTGTAAACATGATGACCTCGTATAACAGACGAAAATTCTACCTCATAAACAAACATCGAATTCCAAATCAAGTGATAGCGAGAACGAGCCATAATCGTAAATATTTACCACGGGTAATTTCTGCTCGTGTTGCTTTCCCGCTTCTGTCTCATAATTTATGTCGTTTGCATTGTTCTTACTTACGATAAATCATTAACAGCTCCGAGCAGTCACGTTCACTTGCAACCCTAAACTCATTCTTACACGTATCCAGCTGCGTACAGTGATCACTTTGCGCTAAAACATGGAGGCTGATGCTTCTCAGTCTCATGCTGGCAAAAGATCAATTCTTATTCAACAGAATTTAAACTAGAAGCCGTACGGTTTGCCGTTGAATGCAATAGTAACTATAAAGCAGCGAAGAAGTTCAACGTAGACCGGAAGAGAATACGAGAGTTGCGAGCAAACCAGAGTAAATTAGAATCTGCTAGTTGCAAGCGAAAGCGACTCGACGGCGCGGGAAGAAAGCCTTTTGATCTGGATATTGAAGAAGTCTTATTGGAATGGGTCCACGAACGACGCTCTAATGGTTTTCGTGTATCAAGGAAAATGATCAGAAGCAAAGTGAGGTTTCTCCACGAGGAGAAATGCAAGGAAATGGAACTTCCTCCAACATTCACTGCAAGCATTGGGTGGGTACAGAAGTTCATGACCAGACATGGGTTATGTATACGGCGCAAGTACAACAGAATCCCAAAAGGATCCCGAAAAACTAATCGACAAACTGATCGCATATGTGTTACAAGCAAGACGGCTACGTGTAAAGTTTTCCTACAGTGACAGTGACATAATAGCAATGGACGAAACAGTCGTTTGGCAAGACATGCTTTCAAATACAACTGTTGATTCCATCGGCCACAACACGATAGCCATGAAAACAACTGGTCACGAGAAGACAAAGGTTTCAGTTTGCTTAACAGCGAAAGCAGATGGAACGAAATTGAAGCCTTTTATCGTCTTTCCCGGTGCTAAGAGAGAAACCAAAGTACTCAATGAAAAATTCAAGGATAAATGTGTTGTAGCATCATCTTCTAACGGGTGGATGAACGAAGAACTGACCCTTGACTGGGTAAGAAGTGTTCTGGGGAAGTTTTCATTCACCCGACGAATCTTGGCGTGGGATTCGTTCAAGTGCCACGTGATGGAAACAGTCAAAAAGAACTACGGACATCAAAGATAGATCCTTTGATCATCCCAGGGGGTTGTACGAAATACATCCAAGCGCCCGACGTGGTCTGGAATAAGCTATTTAAAGCAAATGTCACGGAAAAGTATGATGAATGGATGGCTGGTGAAGCCCACTCTTTCACTGCAACGGGAAACATGCGTGCTCCACCCCGGAGAGAGATAGTTAAGTGGATCCTTGCGGTGTGGGATGGCTTGGACAAAAGAATGATTATCGATTCATTCAAGAGCTGTTCGCTAACCGTTGCAGTGGATAGATCAGAGGACGGACACATTCACTGCTTCATGGAAAATCAGCCTTGCTGTGCAGGACTAGAACGGCTCAAGGTTGCCCAACAAGCCATGAGCAATTCACGCGACAAAGATCCTTTCGACGGGATCACAGAATCCGACGTTGAGGATGCGGCACCAGATAGCTTGATAATTGACGCAAGTGACACTGAAGTCATCGAGGTCGAATAGATAAACTCATTCACCGTACCGTACATGTATACCGTTTATTACTGCTAAAATGAACAATTTTTTTAACAGCAACTGAACTTTCAGCGATTTATTACTGTTTCAGTTTCTGTTATTGTTAGTTACCGTAGATAAACTCATGAACATTCACCGTACCGTACATGTATATTTGTTACCGCTAAAATGAACGATTCTTTTAAAAGTAACTGAACTTTCAACAATTTGTTACTGTTACGGTTTCTGTTATTGTTAGTTATTTTAATATTTATTAAAGTTTTGTTTTGAACATTAGGTTGTTTCTCAAAAAATTAAATAGGCGCCCTGTCCCCAATAAGCACCCTCCCTTGAGGTACCAAAAGTAAATAAGCGCCCCGGGCGCTAAATCGAATCATTACGGTAATTCACATATTCTCATAAATTTTGCAATTTTTACAGTTTGTTTTGCTGGCTGAGGGCCACTTATGAATCTTTTTGCATTCCTCCATCAAGGTTTGTTGATGGCCTTGCAAAATTTTGTAATTCTTCTCATTTTTGAAAGCTATGTCATCAAATTGAAGCAAAATAACTGTTTTGCAGATTGGATCCAATTTAGAAAATACTTTTCCCCTCAGTTTCTTCTTACTTGTAACAGCTTGCGTTTTAACATTTTACAAGGCCATTGATTGCTCAATGTGAAATTACCTTGAATTATCTTCTTTGCTTTTGGACAAAACAAAGAAAACAGTTATAATTGTTTTCATAATACATTACAAGATATTTATTTGGCATATGGATGACTGTAATGTCATCTGCATGTCTTGAGTTTACTTATGCAACAGGATGGGAAAGGAAAGATGATGGCAAACCTTATGTGACAAGCATGACAATAATTTTGTTTGAAATAACCTTCCACTAAACTTCACATTCCTTTAAAAAGTTTTTTGTAGAAGAGCAGAAAAAATGAAATGTTAAGTGAAGATCCTGAAAAAGCACCCTAGTAATACCCCTGTCACCTTTGTCACACACAAGCGTTTTGCCGTCCTCTTCTTTTTGCCATCCTGTTAGGTAAACTCATTTTTGAGATTATGGGCGACTCCCATCCACAGTTTACTTAGCATTCACTGCATTGTATTATAGGTAGTAAATGCCGATGACGATGACATTGATGATGATAATGATGATGATAACAATGTTTGCAAGATGATGCCAGAAGTGTACTGTTATTAATAGCGGAGCTCCGCGCGCACGTGGGCGGAGCCCCATAGCTAAGGTAATCTACCCATCCCAGAAAATTTGGTAATCACGTGACCGACCGACCGACCGACCGTCCGTCCGCACCACAGGCATACCAATGTTTACTCTCACACTTTCTAGCTACTTTGGGAGCCCAGGAGGAAGCTGATTGCACATCAATGTTGTCATCAATTGACAGCTGTCAAAACAGGGTATCCGCTGACCAGTATCACCTGACCCTATCGCGGGCTCAGGTGTCGACCCATCAAGGTCGAGTATTTTTTTGAAGTTATCCGCTGACAATTTATTCGCTCTCAAATGATTGCAGGCTTACGTTTACTTTTTTTAAAAATTCATATCAAATATGTTGTGTTTATGTCAGTATCGCCCCGCATTATTACGATTTTGATTTCAAACTGACCTCAGACGCAAAAATTCAGCCAGTTTTTTTAAAATACAGGCGGGAAAGACCTTTTCTTACCATGGTCACGTGTTGGTCATGCTCCACGTCCAATTTTTATGCTCTGATTGGTTAAAATTTGACAGGTGAGTTCATGCGTAAAATTTATGCAGTTTATGAAGTTAGTTTATGCACGTTTGTATTAAGATTTGACTGAGACACTGATCTGACCTAGTATGAGGTTTGATATAAGCTTAAGCTTACAGAACTTTAAAAAGCCTTTAGTCGATATTAATTCACCGTAAATAGAAAGAAAAGACTTTCCCGAAGAATATTTAGTTATAATTTTGGCTGTAGAAAGAAAGCTTTGAGCGATTTTCTTGTCCTGAGTTCATCTTTGAAAACAGCAAACAGGCCCGGGAAACCGGCGGCTTAAAAAGCCCCAAGAACGATCAGTATCATATTCCTCCTTGTCATAAAAACGCTTTATAAAATTGAGAATGGCCAGGGGAAGATAGCAGGTGTCGAACCCAGTNGTTTGTATTAAGATTTGACTGAGACACTGATCTGACCTAGTATGAGGTTTGATATAAGCTTAAGCTTACAGAACTTTAAAAAGCCTTTAGTCGATATTAATTCACCGTAAATAGAAAGAAAAGACTTTCCCGAAGAATATTTAGTTATAATTTTGGCTGTAGAAAGAAAGCTTTGAGCGATTTTCTTGTCCTGAGTTCATCTTTGAAAACAGCAAACAGGCCCGGGAAACCGGCGGCTTAAAAAGCCCCAAGAACGATCAGTATCATATTCCTCCTTGTCATAAAAACGCTTTATAAAATTGAGAATGGCCAGGGGAAGATAGCAGGTGTCGAACCCAGTCCCTTCGGCTCCGAAGGTTACGCTTTAACGCCCGTATAAAAACAATAGAGATGACCTTACCATCATTCTTACGCCGATGCCGGCATAAAGCTCTCTGACTAAAGGCCAGGAAGCTCAAAAATACACTCGATTTTTCAGCGGCACAGGGAAGAGCACCTATAAAACCTAGGACATTGGCGGTCCAAGGATAGAGCTTTGTGGAATACCTTGGGTTCTGAATTAATGAGTAGAGTCTAAATCCCCCTAGACATACATACTGGCGACGACATATGCAGTTTTTTAACTCATCGCGAAGTTATATTCTTTTCTTTTTGTCCGGCAAATTAAGTTCTACTGCTTCCTGTTTATCGCGGAAGTTACCTTTCAAAGTTAGGGATATTGGGCAATAATTTTCGCGTAAATACTTAGAACCATTCTATAGCAGTGGTGTGACTGAAACGGTATCAGCAGACGACAGCTCGTGTTAACATAGAAACAGCAGACTGAGCGGACGGCTGTGACTGTAGTGCCTAGAAGATTATTCATATAGCACTGATCCTTTAGCCAAACAGGAATTGAGGGAGGTTCCCACGTACACCTGGCTGGAGTTAAACACAATACGCACTGGTGTGGAGTTTGACTTTGGATTGACCACAGCCAGATGAGAGATGTAGAATAAGAGGCCAGACAGTTTCTGTAACTCCTCCTCAGAGGGCATTCTAGCGACACCTCGATCCAGCATATCCTCCATCTGTCTTTGGTATGTCTCCACCCACTGCTTGTCTTTGCTGAGAGTTTGCTCTGTCTTCCTAAGGGTAGCTAAGGCTGCATGATAATAGACCTTTTTACCGATACGGCGGCCATATTGAATTACAGACTCGATTTTAGGAGTATTATAGGATGCCC